AGACGGCCGGAGCAGCGGCAGGGTCTCCCGCTCGGGCTGGACTGAATAACTTTGGGACCGTCCGCCAGTGTCACGTCCTGAACATGAGCCTCCTCCTCGCCTTCTACCTGCTCGGGTTGCTTGTCAGTAGCGGGCAAGGTAGGAGTGTGGTGCTTTATTGACTGTACTCTCCCTCCTTCTTCCCCCCCAGCAAGAGGGGCAGGGAGGGAAGCACGGGAAAATAAGGAGAAGAACATGACAGGAAAGAACAAAAGTTACAGTGATGATGGCTGTTCTTGCGGTTATTATTCTTGTCAAGCTTTCTTTTAGCCGCCCCTCAAAATAATCTCTGTTTCGGTCGAGTCCCTTGAATAAGAGAAGGGAGCACAGAATTGGAGATGGGCTCCCTTGAGCAGGAAATCGAGGCAAACTGCTTTTCTTTTTGAAGCGGGGGGGGGGGGGGGGGGGGGGTTGTTGGTTCAGGGATCTTGGCTTTCTCGCTGTGATTTTCATGATCCAAAATCGGATAAGTATGTTGGTGTGCATTAGCAGTTCAATGTATGAGGTTGCATGTAGCAGGGACAGGCACGATGATGTTTCACAGAAGCTACACAAACTATCAGCATGGCACTCATTTGTCAAGCAGCTCGGCTGTGCCGGAGATGCTTGAGGACTCTTTCCCACCCTTTCCCCAGACCTTCATTCCTGACCACGAAGTGGTCTATGATGGCTTAGTTCTGTTGGCAACTGAGACAAGGGCCATGCATGTGGTGTGTAAGAGAGCAGATGGATAAAACTAGGGATATGTTGCAGTCATTCATTTTAACCCCCTCGCCTTGTTAATACAGCTAGGTTGAAGAATTTGAAAACATTACATTGTAAGTACACATCTTTAAAAAATGTGTAGGAAATCTGGTGAGAGCTTGAAGCGCTTAAGATAAAGCCTATAGAATAACCTGAGAGATAAATTTGTGGAGGCCACTTCTGTTTATCTGTATAGAGACAGACGTACATTTATCTTGTTTTGTCTCTATGGTACAGTACAGTCGGATTAAATATCTTTTATAAGAAACGAAAGCCTTTGCAACTGTCCGGGCAAGTTTGGTCATTTAATTGGGGACATGCAATGCTAAACCATGCATTAGAGGAAGGCTTTGAAGGAAAGACCATGACACTCAATTTGTAGCGTAGGATCATGGAAAAGAATGTTATATTATTAATACGGCATGAATTTTTTTTCTTTTTTTGAGAAAGAATAAATTACAAGACAAGTTAAAATATCCCCCGCTATATTAAATTCTTAGCATTTTTTGGTAGCTTGTGTGCTGCTCCTTGTGTCCAGCAGGGGGTGGAAGAGCTCCATTTTCATGACCAGAAATGGTGGTTCCTGCTCTTCCGCATTCACTAAGTCCTATCATTCTTCAGCAGGGCTTGACATTTTGGATGTGAAGCCTTCCTTTCTCTCCCTGTCTCCTCCTCAAAGCTATATTGTTATTGGCTGATGAAACACGATTGGATGCAGATTTTATGTTTAGAAATGGGAAGGGAATCACTGGTATATTGCTGTAGTTTATAAACTGTCTTGGTGAGGTGCTGCCCATTTTCCCTTAACAACATACAGTGTGAAATATTTCAGCCTTAGCAAAATTGCAAATATGCTCATCAGAAGCAAATGTTACCCTAGTCTGTTAATTGAATTACTGTTATAGCAAAGCTCAACCTACACTGATGCACTACAGATATGCTGCGTTAGTTTTGGGAGAGCTGCTGATTCCATTTAATTGTTCATTTATAAAATAGACAGGTATTTCTGAATGTCAAGAAGCATCTCCTGAAAATTGCAGTCATAAAAAACTAAAACTAAGGAAATGTAGGCAGTGCGGAGCACGATGGGGTCCTAAGAGAGAGCAAGTTTATCCAGACTGATGGTTACATTGTGACTGGTTTGGATTAGAAAAATGTCTCAATTGATCTGGAAATTTATCAGTATTGGAATTTGGCGATAAAAGAGAAATCTGAAAATGTTTAAATATTTATGTTTCAGTAGTACACACAAACACCTATCCTTTTTGTGTATGAGTAAGACTATATTTGAACGTGTGATTCAGCTAATTTATCGAGAACTTAATGTAATTGGGAATTTTCTATGGCTATAAAGAGGGGCTCTGAGACTGAAAAAAAAAAAAAAAAAGCCTGATAGGGAGCCCATATTCACTATAATGAAACAGGAAAGACAGAGAGCTTCCTTCTAAGGAGGCTTTCTCTATCTAGTTCAATTCCCAAATACATGGCACTGGGAAGTCAAAGACACAGATCAGAGGGCTGCATATCACCTAGCTTTTGTGGAAAAGGTACAAAGGGATACTTCTGGGCCCTGTGTCCTAAAGAAGTCAGAGGTACATGGGAGCAGTAGGACTGATCCCAGAGTCCAATTCCTGTATGCTAGTGTTTTGTTCTCTAATTAAGGATGCAGCAGCAAGTATCAGACACACCACTGGGAGCTGTTTAAAAAAAATAGATCTAGTGTAACTCATAATTTTGTTTATTTTTTTGTAAATGGGGCCATGGTAAAGCCTCCAGTCAACGATCCCTAGGCTTGCCTTAGAAATACTAAAATCCCAGGTTGCTGATTTATGTTTCCAACAATACACTTGCAGGGGATTTTATGAAGCATGATTGAAGCTATTGCTTTGGAAAGTGGTGTGCAGTGAGACTGGGGAAAGGCAACGGTGATGTGTTCCCTCTTAAGTAGTCAAAACGTTTTGAACTGCAGCAGTTGAATAGGAGAAAATGACAGAAGTGAAAAACTGACTAACTTAAGTGGATGCCAATATTATAATTAGCTAACAAGGCCTAATAGCCCTACTTCTAACTTTCTGCACGATGTTATTGTTCTACTGTAGTGAAAGCCTTTAAAAAAAAAATTATTGTAGCAAAACTGCTCTCCAAAAGGCTCTCATTTCCACTGCAAGATTAATATGTAATGAAGTAAGGTTGGAGTCTGTCAAGCCTGACTTTATCAATGTAAGGAAGGGGCTGTAATTCTGTAAATGTGCTCGGTTTTTCTTTATATTCAGAACTTGTTCACAGTCTCTGTCGTCATGAATCTCAGGTGATAATTTGAGTCTCTGATTCACAGTGTATTTTATCTTTGGCTCTTGGTAACCCAAACAGCAGTATATATGGGTTACTTTTCGGAAGCTTTCTGAGTTTTTAAAATAATTTTATTCTTTTGAAAGAGAATACCAGAAGATACTTATTAAGTCTCTGTTCCTGAATGCCCTTGTATATAAAAGTCCCATTGTAATGAATATAAGGAGACAGCAGAGCTATTCATCGCTCTTGGAATCCAGTTCGACTAACCATGGTTAGACTTAGCTAAGCCAAAATCAGGGAGGTGGTGATGGTGAATTGCTCAGATAATGAGTTAAACAGGGCATCTGCTTAGTTATTCTTTCTGGTGAAGTGCTAGTAAGTCATTGTTCCTTAGAGCAGTGCACCTTCTAAAAATAGAGCCCAGGTGTGTGGTGTTGACTAATTTCAGATGGACAGGAGGGATCCCCACAAGCCCATCCTCTCCCTGCCTAAGCTGTTACGTTGTTATAACCTTTTGCACAATCGTTTTCCTCTCATGCTCGCTTGAGGTCCTTAATGCCAGCTTTTATTTCTCCTCTCAGGTTTGCATTCTATCAACTGCATGCTCATTTGCGCTTTGAGAAGGTGGACTACACAAATGTAAAGTGTTTTTGTCAATGAACAACACCAAAGGTTTATGTCAAAGGTGTTCAGCAGACCAATTTCCCACTTTCGTTTTACAAAGTGAATCAGAGCGCCTAGACCTAGAAAGGAAGTTGGCATTAGGTCCCTGGTGTCAGATGAGTTGATTCAATGACACAGGGGGCTCATGTTCTCCCCGAGGTAATGGCCTAGTAGAGAAGCAATTAATGGAACAAAAGAACCTCATTCAGTACAGGAAGAAAGTCAAATGTCATCTAATTTTGTAAATAAAATGCTCTCTTTTTAGAAAATAGAGCTAGTATTTAATTGGATTGAGAAATGAACTACACAGAGTGATGCAAGTAACCCAGCCAAGCAGCATAATTTGGTTTTGCCTGTGTCCTAGTGAGGGAGCAATGTGAGGAGAAACAGGATTGACAAAGTGCAGGCCCTGGAAGGAATCTTTGACTTTTGGCATTTGGGAAATTATTTTACTTTTTCAGTTTTCAGGGTCATCTCTCACAGCAATGAACTTTTAGAAGCAAAGTGCTTAATAAATAGTAGAATGAATATGAATGGCTTTTTTGTCTAACAGGGAATTAATCCTCTGGGTGTTGGTGCATACAGAATTCCTTTAGAAATGTTTGTGCTCTGAAAAAATGAATATATTGCTTTTCAAATTTATTGACCTACTTTCTAAATTCCAAGTGTCCTTTATTGGATCCCATTTATTTTGAGGATAGTCCTATTTAAAAGAGTATTAATTGATTTTATTTTTCAAGCTTGCCAGATATCAGAACCCTTTAAAATGTAACCAATGCTTTCTATGTAATGTAATGCAATGTTCCTGCACTTCATAGAGACAAGGTTTCCTTACTTCTTCATCAAATAAATGTGCTTTGGTATGGAACCTACTATCACTATTTTAATGACTTGTAATTATTTGCCACAGTTAAAATAATAAAACTAATCCAAAATTACTACCAACATACTTAGTTTCAATTATTATACCTTCCTACAAAACAATACAAGGTGTTTTAGAAAGCAATGATATAATGAAACAAACTTGTCTGGATTTAAAGACGGATGATGAGGAAGCATAACAGTATCTACCAGCTTTATAATCAACAGATGAAAGTTTCAAAATTTTCAAGTCCAACTTCAGAACAAATTTTTGCTCTCTGCATTTTATTCATTAGAAATCGGAAGGAAAGGAAAGAATATTAGATTTGGAATCAGAAAACTGTTTGACTTTCCGCCCTATGACTAATAGTGTCTTGACCTTGGCAAAAGCAACATAATCTCTAGAAACTGCTATTTCCATATTTGAAAAATATACAAATGTCTGACTGGTTGACCCTGTTATACTGCCTTGAGAAACAATTGAAATAGATACACGTAGACATCTTATAAAAGACTAACTCTACTATTCTTGTTCCTTA